CAAATGTCAGCACTTGCACGCTGAGCACAGAGGGATTTTGCCTGGGTCCTTCCGATGTTATGTCCCTACAGGGTCAACCATTGGCCACCCAGGTAGTCTCCAAGTCCCAGTTATTCCTGAGTACAATACATGGCGCCTTCACTGCTCCCGTTGTCTACCCAGACATGCATGCCAGCAACGGTGTTGTGCATTTTGTCGATGGGATTCTGACCTACAGCGGCTATAAGCGACCTTCGCATACTCAGCAAGGGGGACAGAGAAATATTTGAATGTAATGACAAAATTATTGTACGTTATGTATTCAACGACGATCATGTGCGAGCGCAAACACTTGGCACCGGGACGAACAAGCCTTCACCCGTTAAGGCGTCACCTTCATAGAAGCTTTGATCGCAAAAAAATAATTTTAGACTACCAAAAAGATATTGCAATGAAAATTTACGATGAGCTTTGTAAATGTATCGTTGCGTCTTCTCCCGACCGATCCCTGAGGCTCTGGAGGGATCGGAACGCGAAGGGAGAAAACACCGGCGGCCGCGGCTTTTCGCTAGCAACTTTTGCAATGCGCGGGCCCAAGCCCAATATACAAACCAAACATACCTTTCGGCTGTCCCACACTTTTCCTATCTGTATAATCTTTCAATCTCATCGATGTTTGAAAGCTAACGAGAAGTAAGGGAATTTTTCGTAGCCACATTGTGATGCAACTTGTTTTGCACTTTTCTACTGACTCGTTGGACATGTGTTTGGCTGCCTTTCCACAAATTTACCCAAACTGGACAGGTACCCATTCAAGTCACTTTTCCGATCCATAAAGGTCATATTTAGCATCAGTAGTGCTCATGGCGACCTCAAAACCTACTGTTCTGCCGTCAGACTACGCTGTAATACCAATTCCTATTCCATTCTACCCATCATCATGCACAAAACGTCACGTACAAGAGGAATCGGGAAACGCGCAACGACAGCATCAAATGTCGCGATCTTTCCCTCCTCTCCGTAACTCTTCCTTCTGCCCGACATATGGCCCGAAACACTCCCGACAGGCACAAACGACATGTACGCCTGTAAGGGTCCGACAGCGATCCTGCCTCCCTGCGGAACTGACAAAGTCGTTGCAATGCTTTCCTAAACCAAAAGTCCCTTGCCTGGGCGCTTCTGTCCGAACTATAACTACTCGTTTAACGAGTAAGGACATGATCAAGATATTAAGCAGGGGTGGTGATCGAAAGCGACGACGAGCTTCAGCCATTCGTTGTCATCCCGACCCAGTGCCTTCATCTGAATGCCAGCATGCGGGTAATTTTTTCGACACCCTCTCTCATTTTTTACTTCAATCTGAGGAAATTCAGCGGGATCGTTGCAAGTTCTACCGCGCTGATGCCGAGAAGTCGCCATCGGTGCAATCTAATGGGAAAGCGGACACTTCATGCAAGGGCGTCTCTGGTAGTGTCGAAACTATATCAGCGCCTGAATTTGAAGCGAAGAAGTCATACACATATTCGGCCCGTGAAAGGTGCAGCCTAAACGTATCAGTCGCACTTAAGCATTGTGAAGTGAGAGAGCTCGCTACGGGGCCAGGAAATCAGGTGGTGGAGATTTCGATAGAAGGCCTTGATCCTTCTCCCCGACATGAGGCCCCATACGAAATATCGCCATGCTTTAACTCACGTGTACGCATGAAGCACTCCCACCACAGTGATGTCTACGCCTCTTCTCTACACTCGAGTGGAGAAACTGCAGCTGTGATTAGCAAGCCCGATGCGGCCTCCACCGAGAGATCCAATGATTTGAGAAGCTCATGCATACAGCCCTCAACTTTTGTGGCTTTTCCTGACTCAATTTCCGATGATTTATTACCAACGCATCATAGCAATTCTAATTGCTACTCTTGTGAGGACGAACACAATGCAAAGGTGTCCACAAACATAATAGATTTGTCCTCTCTTCGCACCCAGCACTTGAGTCATGTCAATTTTACTGACTCACGTCGCGAGAAGTCATCCCTTTCACCTGGTTTAAAAGGGGACAAGAATACGGTGTGGCAAGCTGGCGGGACAACAGAACCAATTTCCGTGAAACGCGACTCTTTGAGCAGTTTTGCTCAAAGAGAGAATAGCGAAGACGGGTACATGACGGAATCAAGTGGGCTCTCCCTCTCTACTGCGCGTTCCATCTCTTCTTCATCATTCACGTCTTCGTCCTGCGACTGTTCTTCATGCTGCCTCTCAAACTCAACTTCCTCGTCTTCTCCAAGCTCTAAATCAACAATGGAGGATGATGTTTGAAATAATTGCTAGTCCATTCAGACCGAGAAATTCATTAGCCCCAAAAAATCAATACAACATATGAAATAGTGAGCTTAATTGCTTTTTCTTCAATCTCTTCGTGTCTGCTTGCACACTGCGCAGCAGGGACTCCTGGTCATCCACTTGCCGCTCTTTTTTCCCTCGTCCAAGAAGTTTGCAAAACCCCCCATGAGTGTATGTATGACATGTCAAGAGGAATGTGTTGACGAGGGTGGTAGCATGCATGCCTCTCTCTCGACTTTTGCCGTCAGCTTGCATTCGAATAGTCTCGCCACGCATAGAGCCCTCACAGAAGAACACTCACATATAATCAATACTCAGGACCTGATATGGTATGCGTGTGAGACCATGGTTTCACAACGCGCGTTATGTGATAGAAGTATCGACGTCCTTCTTATGGATATGACAGCTGACCTCCTGCTCATGCATTCACACCCTGAGCCTCGGCAGCTGCCTTCAGGTCCGCAATGGACTGCATATTCTTGGCCTTCTTGCTCTTCGTATTTTTGTAGAAACGATACATTTCAAACTTAGATCGCGCGCCATCAGGTGGGCGGAAGCGGATTCCCAGTTCAGCAGCCAGCTTGAGTGCAAATGGCTTGTTCCTCTTCGAGATGTAGTTCAAGAGCTTCCGGCGTATGTTCACGGCCCGAATCAGGCCCCGTCGGGCGGAGTAGTCTCGGGGATTCACTTGCACGTGCTTGGTCAAGTAGCTGATCGTCTGTGTGAATTGTGCCACCTGTACAGCAGATGAGCCCACATCCTTGTCATGCTTCTGGTATTTCTGTGCGACCTCAAGGCGAGCCTGCTCGAGAAGGTAGCCACCAGGAAGGGTGAAGTCCTCGGGACTCTTGCGGGTCTTCTTCTCGTCGAGCGCGTCCAAGCCAAGCAGCCGATACATTTTCTCGTCATTCGGGTCGAATTCTCCGCCCTCAACGAACTCATTCATCATGTCCCGCTTGCTCTCCAGTCCTGATCCGAGAGCTGCCAGGTCCGGGAGCTCGGAGGGCACGTAGTCGGGGATGGAGAAGAAGGAGTCGTCGGAATCCAACTTAAATGCCTCGCTCCCATCATCGGCTACATCCTCTAGCAAGGATGTCAACGAAGGCTTGACCGAGTCATCCTCAAAATCGCCCTCGAACACGACGCCGTCTATCTCAGTGAATCCCTCCGTCATCTCCTCATCGTCCTCCGGCACCAGTTGCGAGCCTCCAGGAGCCTCGGGCCCCGAGGCATAGAGACGCAACTTGACTGACTTTGATACTGCCTGTTGCATTGACATGAGCGGTGTCAGATAACATAAACAGACGTCCAAGGAGTTAGTTGTCCGGAAACTGCGGGTTTTACTGCACCCTCCGAATGGGATCGGTGCTCACATTCCTTGAAAAATCACGTTCAATACACACACCTACTGCATATATTTTTATCGAATATTTCCAGCTCTTCATTTCCTCTTCAGCATTACATCTTCATGATGGCCGCTTTTCAGCATCGCCCCAACGCCCCGACATTCCGTTTCTTCCCCTCTACGACTCACCGTACTACGAGGACCACGCATGGGCGGTACATAGGCAACTGCGCAAGTGAGCAAACAGCTCACCAGTACTCCTTTTTGCAACAGCATGATTTGGATCCTGTGAGGGCTGTCAACGAGTAGCCTGGAGCGTGAGAAATAGCAAGATACTCGTGCGTCCTGCGGACATAATTGACCGCGCAATGTAAACACACTTTACATCCATATATTTTTCTTGGCAAAACCAAAAGAGGAAAAAAGAAGAAGTGAGCACCTATTCACAGCTTGCCAAAGAATCGTTGTAACCCCATACAATCTTATTTGGCAGTGGCAGCAGCAATGGGGTAAGATGTCGCCCTCCCCTAGCCAACCGAGCCACACGAAGCAGGGCACTTTGCTTTCGAACCCAATAAGGTATCCCCCTTCGCCTGATCGCACCCCCAGTGTGCGATCACCGCAGAAGGCACGCACGGATGGATCGAGCATGAGAGCCAGGAGCCCCGGACGCATGAAAGACACCCGCGCAGTCCAAAGACGGGCGTGCGGGGCGCACTCTTGTCCACGCAGGTCTCCCATCGCCCCCGGGCGCCTGGGATGGAAAAGCCAAGTCGCCGCCCGGGTGCAACTAGCGAACTGCGCATGTCCGCTCTTGCATGGACAAGCACGGGTTCTGGCACTAGCTGACAGTGCATCGGCAGCGTCCTGTTCTGAATCGCAGTGTCCGAGTGGCAAGAAGGGCGTCATGGGCTCAATATCTTTGGCTCGTAGCCTCTGAGAGGACGGACCTAGGAGAGGGATGGCGTGGGACAGAGCCCTTCCTCCAGGGGCGTCTTTTTCTTGGCAAGTGAAGTCCACAATCCCGATCCCCCGTACATCCGCGCTATTTGATTATGCCTCACGTTGTTCATGGGCGAGGCCATCGTCACTATCATGACTAAATGCTCAAGAAAGGAGACGAAGCGCGTGCGTCCTCGTGACGGAGCTCAGCATTGATGGGTCGTGTCTGGCGAGGGACTTTCCATGGGCACATGTCTTGCCTGGCCGCGTCTTTAATGCTCCACAGTTGTAATGATTGATTCCACGCGCGAAACTATGCTATCATTGTCCTCCTTTCGGGGAGCGTGCGGAATGGAAAAGGATGCTCATATTTCTCGGTCTAACACTGTATTCTAAATTTTAGGGAAATTTTTCGTAGCTGGAGGTAAGACTACAATCTGGTCGGTCGTACTATCCACTTAGGACATCATAAGAGTTGCAGGGTCCTGTCGAAGGCCAGCCCTGTCGCGTGACACATAAAGGTGGAGGGCATGAAGACCTTCATCCGCCGGCTTTCGTCGCGAGGCGAGGACGCGGCCTCGTCCCTCGCCTCCACTACGAGCGCTTCGAGCTTGGCCGAGTCGCAGCGGAACCCTCCGCATGGGGGCGGAGCGAGCGGGAGTCGGGTGAGCCTTGGCATGGCTTCGAAGGCTGTTGATTTCTCAGCGGCTTGGAGCCGCATTCACGCGACCTTGGACGGGTTGACTTCGGGGGAAGGCCTGCCGGCGGCAGAGGCCTCGTGGCTGGCCCTCTACACGGACGTCTACCGCATTTGCACCAGTCCACCTGTTGGGGGACTCGGCGGGCCTCCTGCGGCAGCAGGGGCGGGGATAGCAGGCAGTGGGGGAGGGGTTCATCGGCGACTGTACGACCACTTGCACGACTTCTTGCATCAGCATTGCGATGCAGTGGTGGTGCGTCTTCTCACGGCGGCCGAGTCTCACACGGCCTTCCAGTTTTTGACATTGTATGCAGATTTTTACACATTATATACGAAGGGAATGGAGACCGGCGGGAAATTGCTGGCCTACCTGGACCGGTTCTGGATCACCAAGCACCACCACAAGAAGGGCATCGACCCCTCCCAAGGCGTCATGTTTATCGCCGAGCTCGTCCCGCTCGTCTGGCGACAGCGTGTTCTCCGACGCGACATTTCAAACTTGCTGCAGCGGGCCTTCAACGCCGTTGTGGCTGATCTGCGTGCCAGCCCCGCCCCCCCCCCCCCGAGAACCCTGGCCGTGTTGCGCCGCGTGATCGGCTCCTTCGTGGCGCTGGGCACGACCCTGGAGCCCTCGCACCCTGTGGGCTTCTACAAAGAGCAACTTGAGGACCATGTCTTGAGGGAAGTCTACCTGCACTACGTGTACAAGGCCGGGCTTTTTGCGGCGGAGGTGTCAGCGGGGCATGCAGACGAAGCTGCTGTGGCAAAGTACATCCGAACGGTCGAGGGCTGCGTGGCCGCGGAAAAGGCAATTTGGGAGCCCGTCTACCCCTCTACCTCGCGAGGGGCTGTGCGTGTGGTCCGAAAGTCGATGCTGGAGAGCCAGCCGCACCATCAAATCCTTATGGCCTTCGCCAACGCCGCACTCGCCTTCCATGCAGAGCGGCTCGCAGACTTGGAACTGCTGTATCGGCTCCTGGACAACGAGGACGTGGAGCCTACGAAAGGCATCGAGGCACTCCGCAACATCTTCTTCGGTTTCGTCAAGGAGGTGGGGGCGTCGGGAGGTGAAGCGCGCGAACGAGGAGGCCCGTCATCGGCAATCATCGCCGCTGAGGCCTGACATGTCGCACATGCTCGCTCGCTCCTCACTCCCCCCCGACTACGTGTGCTCGGACACGATCCAGACGATGCTGGATCTCTACTCCCATTACCTGACCCTGGTCCGCGTCACTTTCAAGGACGACTCTCGCTTTGCCAAGGCCTTCAAGACGGCCTGTGAGCACTTCATCAACGCGCTCCCGAACATGTCTGAGTCCCTGGCCATACACGCCCACTACTTCCTCGACAAGAACTGTCCTGAGTCCCGCATGGAAAATGTGGACGTGGCGCTTGACAGCATCGTCCTCCTCTTCAACTTCATTCAGGACAAAGACCTTTTCCACCGCTCCTACGCCCGTCTTCTCGCGGCTCGGATCATCTCCTTCTCCTCGGTCTCGGACGAAGCTGAGCGACGGATGATGAAACATCTCATGCAAGTTTGCGGCTTCCAGTACGCCATGACGTTCCAGCGCATGTTTATGGATAAAACTCTTTCCTTTGAGCTCTCTTGCGAGTTTGCAGAGTGGGAACGCGAGCACCGTGCCCAGCAGCAGCGGCTTCTGCTCATGCGCAAAAAGCAGCTAGCAGAGGGACGGGGAGTATGTCTGGAAGGGGGAGACGAGGTGGGAGGGGCAGATGGGGTGACGGGATTGGAAGAAGGAGGACGTGGCGGTGCCGGGGGAGCCGGAGGAGCGATTGGCGAGGTGGGGCGAGGGGGACACGGCCGCCGGAAGTCGGACTCGGCGATCGAGTTCGTCGAAACAGAGTCCGGCCACGTTACGCCCAGGTCGGTCAGCCCCAAGCTCAGCCACGGCATGCGGTTCATCGGCCTTCATGACTCGAGCCCCTTGCAGGTGCTCCTGTCCAAGCGGGTCTTCGCGGACAAGGTGAAGAAGTACAAGGAGAGGGGCCTGGTGTCCACTCCTGCCAGCTCTGCCCTCGCCCCAAAGGGCGACTTGCCTCATCCTTCATCCGCGTCGCCTCAAGCGGCAGCACAAGGAGGCGGTGGGACTATTGGTACCTATTCCGTGATGTCGGGTCGTACTCCCTCATATCATCGCGGCAACACATTTTTCTTCGGTGACGACGACATGAATTCACCGGGAACTGCCGGCGCCGGAGGGGGAGGCGGCGGAAGCGGCGGTGCTGGCTTTTCGTGGTCGCATTCGGTGCTTGACGCACCGAATGCTAAAAAAGGAATACGTCAAACATCGGGCGCAGGAGGAGAGGCGGAGGTGGAGTTCTTCGTTTTTATCCTGACGGGCGGATCTTGGCCGTACCCCTCGACAGGACAACTCGTACAGCTGCCAGCCCCCTTGATGCGTTGCGTAGAGTCCTTCTCCACCTTCTACGATGCCAAGTATAAGCGGCGACGACTGACTTGGCTGCACGAGCTCGGCCACGGGGAGGTGCTTTTCCGGTGCCCCGCCAGTGACAGGTCCTACACCTTGCTGGTGTCCACTTCGCAGATCTGTATCCTGCTCCTTTTCAACTCCCGGTCAGCTTGGAGCGTGGAAGAACTCCAGCGGGCTCTCGACCTAGACTTGGGCGAGCTTGTTTTGTGTCTTTACCCCTTGCTGCGGTCGCAAGTCCTTACGTGTAGACCTGAAGTAGCGGTCGCCTCAAAACTGACCAAGCACCACACCGTTGTGGTAAACGAAGGCCTGTCTCGCCGTGGCTGCAGACTTGCTGTGCCGCGCAAGTGCGACGAGGCGGAGCTGCCGTCTGCATTGGATTCTCCTCGCTCCATGGATCCAGCTCGCATCTCGCCCACGTTGCTGAATGAGCGTAAGAGCGCAATAGAGGCCCGAGTCGTGCACTTGATGAAAAAGGCAGGTAGCATGCGGCACGATAAATTGATTGAAGCGGTGTTGCAGCATACACGCCAAATGAATTTTTTGCCCCCTGTGGATTTTATATGCGAAGTTATTCGCGCCGACATAGAAAAGGATTTCTTGGAGCTTGCGGAGGACGGGCCCAACCCGCTTTATCGTTATCTAGCCTAGAGCACCACATTGAAGTAGAAAATATCTTGGCAAATGTACATCGACAATGAAGTGGCGGTGGGGTGAAAGATGATGAGCACTCAAATTGCAATTAATTGCAGTAACATAGAGTCTCTGAGTAATGCTTGTTACAAAGAATCGGATCGCGGGGTAGAACATTCTAGCTTCGAAATGTACACAAGATTGAAAGATCTTTGACGGGACAAACAAAAAGTAGAAAAATCGAGAATTTTCACAAATAGTCGTCTATGTTTGAAATGCTCAATCCCCAACATCTCAGTACATCGCTCATCAGAGCATTAGTTCCAATTATCAAGGGGTCTCTCTCCGAGCATTATTATGGAAGAGTGCGTGTGCAAGTTGTGCATGTAGCTTCAAGACTAAGGCCATGTTACAAACCGTACGACGAGTGCATAGGGGCACATCCCTGCAGTAAGACGCATAGGATCTCTTTTCAGCAATTTCTTGTATTGCGTGATAAGCCGTCAGGAAAAAAAGTCGGTGTACATCTTTTGTAGGCGCCACATGTGGAAGCATTTGGAGAGCGATGGTTTTCATGCGGTCCAAATCGTACAAGAAAAATTATATTTTACCTTCATTCCTTCGCATAAATTTCATCATGCACCTTATCTTTTCCATTCTTGTAAGATCAATCAAAAAATGAAAAAGTTGCGGCAAGACCTGCATAGATCTGAGGTCCGTAATCTGTAGCCTAGTACAAAATCGCATCACTCGACCGGGCTTCGAGCGTTGAGAGTAAACGGTCGCTCACTTCAACTGTGACGTCGCTTTGAGATGATGAGTGAACGGTACGAAATTTCACTCTGCCACGAAATCCTGTCAGATATGCCATGAAATGCTTTCTATAAACATGTAAACGCGTAGAAAAGGATTCAAAGGCTTTTACGAAACTTTCATACAGTTCTATTTACGAGGGAACATTGAGGTAGACATGAGTCTTAAAGTATTACGAACAGCAAGTAAAGGCTTCAATCTGGCAAGATTACATCTCGTAAGCTGTGTTTTTCACTACAAATTATGCGCAATGAAAATAATTATGACTTTTTTGGTGCTCAATCCTATACATATAACGGTCCGCTCACCACACGGCGTAATGTTGTCATATTTAATTGCAGAATCCTATCGTCCTGCGGCAAGAGGAAAAGATCCATGATCGTACATGGTCGTTGTGAGAACGCATTCCATAGCAGTTGTCTACCATATACTAGCACATATGATAGTGTGGACTTTAATGTGCCACGCGACCGCTCAATTAGATTATAAAAGGGCAAATGAACGCCGGAAAGTGAAGAAAGGCATGACAGATGGAAATGTGGAGGGATGCTTCGACCATTTCGATGCATTGAATGAGCCTTTTATCCCCTCTCACATACTTGGCATAAAAAATAATCGCCGCTGTCAAGCACTGTGCACTGCAAAAGGATATGCGCTCGCGGCCACCCGCTCAAATCCATTTAAATGTTTATGCGGAAACGACTACCCAAGCGCCTTTCATCAGGTACGACAATAAAATCAGCCATAAAATCAGGTCTTGTTCCACAATTCAAGATTTGATTTCGTAAAGGAAATCATCCTACTTTTATTTGGCAGGTTGATGCCGGCAAGTGTGACGCGCCATGTAACCCCGACCGTGCTTCATGCTTCCACATGACGTGCTGCGGTAGCCGCGACGGCAGGCTTTTTACCGTGTCTTTTACAGGAAGTAGAAATATTATCCTTCAAGTTTTAGAGCAGCTAGCATTCGATTATCGAAATAATGCACCAACTTTCCGAAGCAAAGTCGAGAGCTCTTTGACAGATAGTACACCTCTCAAAGTGCTAAGTAGAAACTCAGGGGACTCGTATCTCATTGCAGCCGGGCCTTGTTTGGGAAGCGAGGCAGAGGAAGGCTATACACAATGGCATACTTTTCAAAAAGCATGCTACTCGCTACATTGGGCCGTGACGACAGACTATGCTAACGCCGAACGTCTGTGTACAGAGCATCATGCCGACGCATCTGTCGTCGTACCTACGTCTGCAGAGGAGAACGCATTCGTCACAAGGCTCCAAAGCGGCTGTCAGGGATGGCTTGGAGCTGGTGCAATGTTAACAGCGATGGAAGATGGGAGGAAACATGGAAAGAAATCACTTTCTTACAGTAACTGGACTGCGCCTATGCGAGAGTCGTATGGACGCCCGTGCGCGCAGTTGCGCGCCGACGGAGGATGGGTACAGCATGTGTGCGATCGAAACGATGTCTCAAGCCAACAAAGTATGTACACAGCTGGCAAAAGTGGCTATGTGATGGACACCTTCGGTACGTCCCAGGGTGTCAATTGTTTTGTATGCAAAAAGCTTAAACGACAAAGCGACACAAAGGCTGTGACGCTTTCGGCCACTTCTTTAAGCCCTTTCGATTCTTGGCAATTGTTCATTTTAGCAGACGGGAATATC